GCGACACACGGGAAGGAGGGGACGGGACACAGGGTGCGACACACGGGGCAGAAGGAGCGACACACGGGGAAGAGGGGGCGGCACACGGGACAGAAGGAGAGACACACGGGGAAGAGGGGGCGGCACAAGGGACAGAGCGAACGGTACTCGGGGTGGAGAGGGCGGCACCCGGGACAGAGGGGGCGGCACTCAGGGCAGAAGGAGCGGCGCACGGGACAGAGGGGGCGGCAACCGGACGGAGCGGGCGACACACGGGATAAAGGAGGTGACGCACGGCAGCACACGAGCTGGTTTCGTGCCGTCCTGGGTCACACCAACTCTCCCAATGACCTCTCTTCACCTACCAAACTTCTCGCGTCATCTGCAAGTGTAAGCCATTCATCAGGCCTGCCGAGAAGACCGGACACAACGAGTGGCTCTGTGATTCACAGATGTGCTGTGGAAGCAAATGTCTATTGCAGAGGTCCCGCTGCCGAATATGGGAACGGATGCAATGACGCCTCATTTCCGCTCAATGGAGGGAGCTCAGAGGATGCTGTATTTCTCCATTGAGGTTGTCCGTCCAGCAGACATCCACAGCGACACAGGCGACGATCCCCTTGAGCATAAATTGATGCATAGGATCATTAAAAGTGTGCAAAACATCGTCCAACTTCTCTAAAATTAAAAATGACTAGGTCGAAATCCCACGACATATCACCTTTTGGGCATGCCCACACTGTATCCCCAAGATTTGGTGGTCTGAGCCCCAATCCAGCTTCCATGCCTACGGCCATCTGGGTCACATGCGTAGCACGCCCCCGCAGTACTGCGCGGGCGATCCGGCCAGACAGCACGGCTGTGGCATTACCGCAGCGGCTCGCATCCCGTGACCCATGGAAACGCCACGGCAGCCAGCCAGACCATCGATCTCAGCCAAACCTTCAGCGGCCGCCAGCCGCCGATCTGCATCCCGCCCCCAGCCTGGCAGGCAGTTCGGCGGCAGCGGCCCCACCCCGCCACAGGCGGCAGCGACGGCGCTGACGCCACTTCACTCACCCGAGTGGCTCGGTTCGATCAGCACCATATCTCCGGGCGGCGCTCACGCGGCTCGCGGGGCCACCATGGCGACACACGCTGCGTCACGGTCCAAACACGGCCCGACACTGGCCGCGGCGGCGGCGCCGGGGCGTCTCGGCGGCGAAGCGGCGAGGCGGCGACGCGCGCGCCGCCTGCCGGCCGCCCGCCCAACCGCCGTGTGGGAGGGGGCACCTGACGACCGGCGATCGATTCCGGCCGCCGGCGAACTTTGGCCTCCGGCGAGGCTCTGGGCTGGCTCTGTGCGCTCCAGGGGACTCGGCCTCCGGAGTGACTCACAGGATCGGCCCCCGGTGCGGGAGGAGGAGGAGAGGAAGCACCACCAGCAAGGAGACGCGGCTGCAGAGAGGCTTGCAGAGGATGGTAAGACGTCGAGCCCAGAGGAGGTTAAAAAGGGGCTAAGAGGACCGAAGCGCCGTATTCCCCTCCCCGGTCCCAGAGTGCGACCAGGTTCGGACATACGGGTGGCGACTACTGGGGTGTCTTAATGCGCGTCCTGACCTGCACAATTTCTACCCGGGGACTGCCCCAGGCGGAAAAGAGTCCGACCCTGCACGAGAGATGGTGGGACACAGCGCGATCGACTGTTCAGAGACAAACATACTTGCAATCCTCAGCCGGGGCGGCCACTATATTCTCGAGGCCCGACAACGGAACGAAAGTGCAAAGTGACTTTGTTGCGCTCAGCCGCGCACACAGCGCCATCAGCTGCGAAGTCCGCTCCGAATCCGAGCCCGCTGCCAGCTCGGAGATGCCACAAGTCCCGATGTCACAGTGACCGCTAACCCGGTATTCCCCAGACATTGGCACTGTCGGGATACAACACAAGTCACGGAGCACCCAGTGAGTCCGCGCACCGGGAGGTTCGATCCTCTCTGCAGCTAACGGACAGCAGACACCGCACCCCAGCACTGCGCCGGCAGAGACCCGGTCCTCTCTGCAGCTAACAGACAGCAGACACCGCACCCTAGCACTGCGCCGGCAGAAACCCGGTCCTCTCTACAGCTAACGGACAGCATACGGCGCATCCCAGCAGCGCACCGGCAGAAGCCCGGTCCTCTTTAAAGCTAACGGACAGCAAACGGCGCACCCCAGCAGCGCACCGGCAGGGGCTCGGTCCTCTCTTCAGCTAACGGACAGCAGACGGCGCATCCCAACAGCGCGTCAGTAGAGGCCCGGTCCTCTCTACAGCTAACGGACAGCAGACGGCGCATCCCAACAGCACGTCAGTAGAGGCCCGGTCCTCTCTACAGCTAACGGACAGCAGACGGCGCACCCAAGCAGCACGCCTGGGAGGCCTGTTCGGTTGTTTTGCTGTGAGCTGGGAGTCATAAATAAACACTTCTGAAACGGTTGATTCATGGTAGAACACACACACCGTTTGCACGAATCGCATGCAACATGTGCACTTAGAGGCGCTGGTCGACATACCAAAGCCGAGATGGGTGGTGCGGGTGACTGAAGAGCGCACCCAATCACACAAGAACCTTCAGCAACGGGTTCTTTCCAGTTCCGTTCACACATTTATAACGCGGTGGAGCGACAAGCTGTGGGGCGTTCCACGACCAAGCAACATGTTATAGCTGCAGCCCAACACCTTTTTCCTTCTCAACTAAGGTGAGTGGGCGCTGCACAAGTCAAACGTTTCGCTTGCCTGAGTGGACAACCCTTTCCGCAAAAACTGCTCAAGGTAACATGAGGGTCTTGATCAGTTATCATGTGCACAGGTGCGCGGTCGCTAAGATTCACCCGAAACGCAATGCCAAACGCCATCCGTGTCGGACGATATCCAATATGTATTATTTTCGGACCTGGCACACCAACCGAAAATCTTCTTCAGCCGTGACTTACGCAAACGAGATGCATCCACTCGCAGACGAAATGCACTTGCCATGTAAATCCGGTCACTGAGCTTTACCGGACGTAATTCATTATCACTTCTAGCTGCATGCTGCATGTATTAAGATGCTGTACTCCGATCACAAGCTTGCCGGGCTTACAACCCACTGTCTGTTCCCACCCTTGAGGTTGTCACAATCTCAGGTGCTCGGCGAGCTGCGAATTCCATTAAACGCTCCATGCACCGTTCGTTAGACAGATGGCCATTATAAACCCGCTCGAGTAGCGGTCATGTCGCAGCCATAATCAGAAATGTAGCTTCCGTAATTACGCGGGAATTTGCCCGACGTCTCCGCAGCCTCATGGTTCGTATGCCCTTGCCATATGTCAGAGAAATCTGATGCTGACCTGTCTGCACTTGCCAAACGCCTAAGCCAGCAAAGGCTGTCATGCCCGCATTACTCAAACGTCCGGAGCAATCTCATGTCCGCGTGTATGTATTTGCCACATGTTGGAGGGGTGCGACGCTGGCCCATCTACATTTCCCCCATGCCTGATCAGCCAATGTCGGCACGGCACAGCATGTCTGCATTCTCCCCACGTCGGATCAGCCAATACCGGCACGGCACAGCATGATTACATTACCCCACGTCTGATCAGCCAATGTCGGCACGGCACAGCATATCTGCATTCCCCCCACGTCGGATCAGCCAATACCGGCACGGCACAGCATGACTACATTACCCCACATCTGATCAGCCAATGTCGGCACGGCACAGCATGTCTGCATTCCCCCACGTCGGATCAGCCAATACCGGCACGGCACAGCATGACTGCATTACCCCACGTCTGATCAGCCAATGTCGGCACGGCACAGTATGTCTGCATTCCCAGCACGTCTGATCAGTCAATGTCGGCACGCCACAGCATGTCTGCATTCCCCCCACGTCGGATCAGCCAATACCGACACGGCACAGCATGACTACATTACCCCACGTCTGATCAGCCAATTTCGGCACGCCACAGCATGTCTGCATTCCCCCCACGTCGGATCAGCCAATACCGGCACGGCATAGCATGTCTACATTACCCCACGTCTGATCAGTCAGTGCCGGCACGGCACAGCATGTCTGCATTCCCAGCACGTCTGATCAGTCAATACTGGCCCGTCTGCATTCCCCACTCGTCTGAGCAGCCTGATGCACGTACGTGCCTGCAGTTTCCGGGCGTCTAGGCAGTGACACTTTCTTACTTGTATGAGTACCGCAACTGCGAAAAATCCGGTGAAATGACTTTCCAGTCAGACGGCAATTCATTCACGACCCCAGTGCAAGTTCCCATATAGAAAATTAATAACCCGGACGGCCAAATCTCAACAAGCGTCTTCAAAGGGCAAAATAGAACTACTGGAAAAATATATCGTGCAAGAATGTGCAGGGCGTTCATAATATTACGCCAAACACGATGCTGAAGCAAATGAGCCATGATAACTGGAAGCTCTGGCACGGCTTGCTTTTAGTTAGCTTTCATGCAGGTATGACAGAAACGTTTGGGCTTACCAAGTTTGCTTTCAGATCTCAAACATCATATGCCTAACTGCAGTTAATGGCTATAACCTTCCGGCTGAATTAATACGTGCATTGTAATACTGGAACAGCCCTAGGAGTCCGCGGTACGACAAAATGCAATCAAAGCCTTCTGTTGCGAAAATGAACGATGAAGAATTTCGCGTCGCCTTTTGAACATTGCCACAATTTTCTTCCCTGCGACATACCTAGTCACGAAATCAAGTGGAAAAGCTTATCAACTTTTACATGCACGACCGTCACGGATTACGAGCCCCCCTGAGACTCAACTGACGATAACTACATGCACTGTGCCCGGCCGAAAACAAGTGTCACGTCAGCGCCCGGCCTGATCCCAGCCAGGCCAACAGCAGCTGGACACCCGTCCTCGTGCAGCACAACCGGCCAAAACACCACGGCGCTGGCACCGGCACCGGCCGGCAGGGGCCGGCACCGGCACCGGTCAGCTGGCCGGCCCGGCAGAGGGGCGAGTGCGTGGCCGCGCCGCGGTAGACCCACCTGAGCCGTCCACGGCGAGGGCGTCCATGGCAGCCGAGCTAGCGGAACTTCGCCATAGCGCCTGAAACACAAGTGGACGTGAAGCCGACGGCGCCGCCAGAGGACCCGCCACCCTGTTTGCAGTGCAGGCATTTCAATTGCGACGCGACTATCGACATTCAATAAACAATACGTCCCGCAAATTATAAACGACTGAAATCGAGAGCGGCGGACTACACAGTCGGATCAGTCTCTCATTGACCTTTCTGCCAGCGTCAAAACACAGAGGCGCATAGTCGTTGACACTCGTCGCGACCGAGCCCGTATGCACACCTGAGTCTCATTCCCTTCCCGCCCGCACAGTGTTTGGAGGCTACTCGCCCGGCTGCCGCCTCCCAAACTAATCATGAACTTTCACCACGCCCGCGAGCAATTTCCGTCCACCGCTGCCACGCATAAACTTCCGCCCGGCCGGTAAACAGTGTCGGCCTGCCGCCGGTGTCGGGCACGACGCGTCGGACCGCGGCCGACGGCCGGCGCGCGCGCGGCAGCCGCGACCGCGTGCCGCGGCGTGGCGTCCCGCATCAGCGCTGGCCGGCGCTGACGGCGCCCGGCCGGCGGTTCGGCCAGCGGCCGCCGCCTCTGTTTGTTTGGAAGAGCGGCCGGTTGTGTTGGCTGCTGACCGTCAGCGGCGCACGGACAGCAGGGCGCCGGTGCAGAGATCGGGACGAGGGTGCAGAGATCCAGACACGGGTGCAGGGATGGGTGTACGGGTGCAGAGATCGGGGCACAGGTGCAAAGATCCAGGCACGGGTGCGGGGATGAGGGCACGGGTGCAGAGATCGGGGCACAGGTGCAGAGATCCAGACACGGGTGCAGGGATGGGGGCACAGGTGCAGAGATCGGGGCACAGGTGCAGAGATCGGGGCACAGGTGCAAAGATCGGGACACGGCTCGCCGGCCGGCCCGTCCCGGATGCACGCGCAGCGAGCGGATCTCTTGGGGGGGCGGGGGGGGGGCGACGTGGCGTCCGGCGCGGCTCGGCCGCCTCCGCCGCGGCGTGGCCTGGTTAGACCACGGGCAAGGTTTGACAAAAGACCGGCGCTTCTGCTCACATCAAAACATGAAACAAAGCAGTGTAATTCAATAAGTCCCAGAGATTGTAACGGAGAAGTTTTATGGTGAGCACGGCAGTCACGAACTACACTTACAAAACGCGCCGAGCCAAGTAAAATTACGATAAGAGGCATCGCCCGGAAGGCTATGTACAGGCCGGCGCCATCGAACCGAGCGAGCCAATTGAATCTATGAGACCACGATAGCCCCACGATAACCACCGTCAGCTATGCATAACTAAAGCAGAGCAGTTCCAGTCGTATAACGAATCGATATGGGCTAGTGATAGCGATACATATGCATTGATACGGACATATATAATGCAAAGATCCTTCCGTCGCGCCGTTTTAAATGCAGGTCACGACATGATTGCGCCTCGTTATTGTAGGCTGTGAAAACGCTGGACACTGGCCGAGGTGGTCCTCCTGTCTTGCCCGGTGAAGTACCCTATGCCAGCTTTACCCCCACCCCCTGCGCACTGCTGACAGGGTGGTCCTCCTGTCTTGCCCGGTGAAGTACCCTATGCCAGCTTTACCCCCACCCCCTGCGCACTGCTGGCAGGGTGGTCCTCCTGTCTTGCCCGGTGAAGTACCCTATGCCAGCTTTACCCCCACCCCCTGCGCACTGCTGAAGTTGTGGTGAGGGGGTAGGGGGGCACGGTGTCCATTCCGATACCGACAGCAGGCACACGCCTAGAGGCAGTGACCCAGCCAGTCCGGCTCAGGGTAGCCGCGCACGCCATCTGCGCCACCGGAGCAACGGAGGCTGTAGTGACGTCATGGAACGCCTGCTCCCGCCCCGAGCACCACGACAGCACAGCGTGACAAACGGATCGCCACCGCTGTCCGCTGTCGCCGTTACCGTACCCACTGACTTCAGACGATGCCTTGTGTGAGAGTGGTTCTTCACTCGAAATCATGCTGTGGGTCGGGGCGAATTAACGTGCAGCGTCAGTATCACATTAGGGTATAGATTAGTTCTAGTTTCTGGATTGTTCTGGAGGTAAACATGGATAAGGTTATGCAAAAGGTTATGAAAGAGGATGAAGAACACTCCCCTTAACATACATAAAAAATGAAGACAAATAAACCCTACTTTGACAAATACACATGGCCATGTAAAACAAGGGCAGGTGGCAGCTATGAGGTGAACATACATTCATTAACCACTGTTTAGTTTATACACTATATTTGTTATTTGTTTTACACACTGCACTGCACTTGCCACATCATAGAGAACAGATAGTCCCAGGAAGGTGATGAGCAGGATGATGGACTCAGTGACATCATAAGACATCAGGTTTTCTGTACAATGTGTAGTCTCATGGTAAAAATAGAGCCAATTTGTGCAGATGAAATCACTGATATTTCTAGAAACAGCACATACCAGCTTTACCAGCTGCGAGTTCTGGTGTATACAACAGCCATCAGGCAACACCATTGTAGGAACTGTACCCACCAAAAGCTGAAAACATTTTTTTGGTTTATACAAAAACAAATGACTCAGCGACAATTATCTTACCCTTTGAGGGGCCTCTGGGTTATGCAAGATCTTCAAAGGCTGCTACCCAGCTGGCTCCTAGCCCCAAGATGCCAACTGGGAATGCAGCTGGTGGGTGGTTGCCAGAGTGGCAATATTCTGTTGCCTATGTGGCAGGCATGTTAAATCTGTTCTATGATATGCATAGTGTTCACTGTCTGTTACTTCTTCCCTTATCTAGGTCCAGCCCACCAGCATCACCAGTATCAAGAAAAAATAGCAGTCTGGCCAACTCAGGATAAAGGTGCCTCAGGCTTAGCCAATCAGCCAGACAGGTCAGATATCAGAGTTCAGGGTCCATGTGAAACATATAAGCAGCTACCTTGTACATGCAGAGGCTGCTGAGAAGCCAAAAGTTTGATGTCATGAATTCATATTGACATTCTTCATACTTAAGAGGAATATTCCAAATTTATAAGGGGTTCTGAATGGAAATAGCTATCTTGAAGACCCTTCAGTGCTGTTCACAATCATGCCATTCTTCAGGCCTAAGCCCCTTAGTTTCTGAGCTACACACCTGCAAAAATGAGATAGGTGTATGGGGGAGAGCACTTCAAAGTAACCCTCGCATTCATGAAGCCATAATAACCTTGTCCAAACCCTGTCATTCCATAAGCCATGTGACAATAAGGTAAAAAAAATAATGAGCACAGTTTCTAGCTGCCAATTGGCTCTCAATCAGTGTTTGTTCCATAATATCTCATGCTTACTTTAATATCTTCAAATGTGAAACATACCCTTTAGCCTGATCTTCACTACATACTTATGCAGGAATGAAATTTAAAAAAAACAGATATCCCCATTTGGTGGTGATGGCCTGTGGGTGAATAGCCAAATTACAAATTCAGGGTCCCAACAAAAACAAATGTTAAGTACATCCAATGGTGTGTTCCTCACTTGCATGTAATACCTGCATACAACATGTTTTGTATAAATACTTGGTTCAAACTGGGCTTACAAGTTATAACAACTATTGCTGCTCATATTGGTCCACACACATCTTAAATATCTATCATTCCTTATGTTGAGCATGTGTAGGTCCATGCTAATTCCATGTACTATATAGCATATCTGGATCTAATAAAGCTCATGCATAATGTTTCTATGGTCTTCCTCCATGCATCACAGCAATTTATCAATTGAAAAAGACCCTCAGCTCATATTCCATTGCAGTAAGGGAAGGAATTCAATCATCTGTGAATACAATTATGAATAAATTCAGGAAATGATATTGCTTCTAGAAATTTATATAAATGCATCAGATCCATATTCATGCACATTGCTGGCTATTATTTCATACATTTGCTCTTTACAATAAAAATTCTGCAGCTTTAGGCTTTGCCTTTACTTTCTGGAAGGTCATTACATGATAAATAAAGATAACTATGCATATGTACTTATGATATCACTGTGCTCCAGCCAAGTGTTATTGCAAAAGAAGAAGCATGTGCAAGTTCTTGTATTTCAGTTTTAGGGGCTGGTCAGCACCAACAGCATTATATTTGGAAGTTTTAGCACACAACCTTTCCAGTAGGTCAACATCCTGTATGAGCAATACCATTAAGTCTATGTCATATATATATATATATATATATATATATATATATATATATATATATATATATATAGAACCTAAGACCAGAACCTCAGCTAAGCTAACCCAACCTAACCTAACCTAACCTAACCTAACCTAACCTAACCTAACTAACCTAACCTAACCTAACCTAACCTAACCTAACCTAACCTAACCTAACCTAACCTAACCTAACCTAACCTAACCTAACCTAACCTAACCTAACCTAACTGAACCAAACCTAACCTAACTGAACCAAACCTAACCTAACTGAACCAAACCTAACCTAACTGAACCAAACCCAACCCACTGAACTGAACCAAACTGAACCAAACCTAACCTAACCTCCCCACCCTATATCCCCTTCCACCCAGCATCCCATCGGCGTCTGTGTTCCACGCCACATATAGGCACCATATAGTGAGCTTTTATTTAGCTGCAATGTTCTCATTTTGCTTTACATTCCCCACCCAATCCCCCTGCAACCCATTGTCCCATTGGCGTCGAGGATCAAATTCCATGGATTCTTGTTACCTTGGCCCCCTACATTTTTATGGTTCTTGATGCTGCTTGATGCGCAGCAATGTTGTGACCGCGCACAGTAATGGCACTGGTGTCGCGGCCGCTGTGTGCAGGTGCAGCGCTCGGGAGCTCGCCATAGTAATTATAAAACATTTGAAGGTAAGATCATGAATCTACCTGTTTTGTGATTGTTCATGATATGTCCTGCCTTAAACACAACAAATGGTGTACAATGATTTTTCTAATGTTAGGTAGGAAAGTACACCCTGACCTATATATGACTACCTACATGCAAGGGTAAAATGCTGCCGATCTATGGAAGATACCTGGAGTGCAATCTAACAATGGCAGACATTAGAAGACAATAAGGTTGTACTCAAAAGTTATGCATAATGATTGATAATTTCTTTGACTGATTTTCCATCAGGCAGGCAGCTGAGTCCACAGCATTTCCTGATGCCAGAAAATGTTAACCAGTAAAGGAATGCTGAGAACAACTACATCACGCCAGATATAATTGCCTTCATCTGCTGTATGGCATGCACGTTGCACATATCCCACATATTTTAAGTTCCACAAAACAAACGGAAGCCTGTCCGAGGCGGATGGAAGTCTCGAATAAAGCGAACAGCGAGTCTTAGCTATGTGGTTTGTTTTTAACATGACAAAAACAACATACCCACGTACTCACAAATATAATATCGGTGACTGGCAGCCGTTTAAGCTTGTAAAAGGCTTCCAAAATGTACCGGAGCACCGATCAACCCCGCGCATCCCCTCCCATTTGCCAGCCGACAACGTCCCCCGCCCACTCGCACCCAAAGCACCATAAATCGCTGCAGCATTTACGCAAGATGAACAAAAGCGCCAGATCCGTGCATAATATTACCCCCTTTCCCTTTGTCGTCGAAGGAAGTAAAAAAGTATTGTCGCTAGGGAACATTCCTACTGCCGTATATCTTGCTAAACAAGTATTTTCAACTAATTTAAGCCACTGCGTTCTATCAAGATGGCACACAATAGCTAATCTTACCTTCTCAATTTTGAGTTACCTTCACTCACGACAATGTGGGGGAAATTTCTTACCACTTTTAAAAGACAAAAAGCTGTTAATCTTACGTCATCACAAGCACGGTGATCCAAAAGTAAAATTGTAGGTAATGATACTCATTTAAGGGCAATATGCTCAGATTCAAAGATAAAAATGCATATTTCAAATCAAGATCTATGAGTCTTTAGACTATTGAGATCATCTATTGTTGACGATATTGATGGCTACATGAACAGCTGTGAAATTACCCGTTTCGGTGCTAGCGAGTTCATCTGTTTGCTTAAGACATTCAATGCGCGCAAAATACGAATACCTCGCGTAGTCTTATTCTACAACGCTTCAAGCCTGCTGAGCCCAGGGGGAGGGGTTGTGGTGGCCAGATAGTTGCCTAGTTGCACTGCCATGGCGTCATTAAAGGCTTGCAGAGTACACATCATGCTGCCTCGAACAGATTTGGCCTTGGCTCTCAAGTACCTTTCGAAGAACGGCCCGGAGTCCTGCAGCTATGTCGAACTTCCTGTTGAAGGTGCGTCTGTGTCAGAGTCTATGGCGCCATTTCTCCGGATGTTGCCATAATTCTGAGGCCACTGTGACACCCCTACATATGGGTATGCAATTCTCTGCACTGCAATACTTGAAATTATGCCTTTTCAGGCTGTATCATTTTGGAGGAAATGTCACAAAATGCATTTTATTGTTTCAGACAGACTTTCCATTTTTGGACAGTCACCTTTTAGGAGCATGAAGAATTGTTTTGGAGGGAGTTTTCTAGTTGCTGTGGTAACACCAATATTTCCTAGATTGCACCAAAGCCAAAGATTCACACCAAACATGGAGTGTTAATTGATGCAATTACTGATATACCACAGGGAATGAAGCCATGCCAACTGACTACACAGAGGAGCTGCAAAAGGCTGAGGTGCTCCTTACTACTCCTGGGCTGCTAGGAAGCAGACTCTATTCTGTGCCTAAGCTCCAGTGGGCCCAGATGACCTTTGCTGGCATTAATGAGCTTTTGGAGCAATACCAACCAGATGAGGTATGCTTCCAGCTGTAAAAATGTAAATATTCATGCATTAGTCACTAGGAAATGCACTTCATGTAATCAGCCATGGTAATGTTTTCAGTGTGTGGTCACCAACCTATGTTGGTTCTTTTGGTGCTAACAAAGTGTACATTAGCAAATAGTATACAGACACTGGTACTGATTAATGAACCATGAGATGATTTTGGGCTTGAAACTGGATCAGGGTTAAAGAAGATAAAATGGTTTAACACCCTTTTTAAGAGGTCAAGGGGACTTTGACAGAAAGGTATGATTTCTTGATGGTGCTCTGTTCATACATTTATACATCATGCACATGCAGATCATAGAAACCTGGATTTTTTCAATATTGAGTGACCAATGACCCAAAAGTATACAAACTGACACCACTCAGGTAAAAACCTTTGTTAAAAGTGGATTTATTTCTTTGGATGTCTGACTGCATCATCAACAAACTGACCCAGGTCTACATGTTTGGATCAGTGAGCAGCACATGCAGTATACATACTGAGCATCACAATTTTTAACACGTCTGCACTGTTGTTTTCACTTAAGACTGACACATCATCCAACACAGTGAGAACCTATCTAAGAACCATTCTGTGTCAACAGCCTGAACCGCCGTTTGCCATCACACGGTTCGCCAGCGCCAAGTTCGGTCGCGAGCTGGCTGAGTGGGTGCTGGCCGCTGTGCTGTGCCACGAGCGCGGCTTTCAGCGGCTGTGGGAGGCACAGCGCCAGCACCGCTGGGCTCAGCGCGGCCACATGTACCGGCCGCTCTCCCAGCTCACCATCGGCGTGCTGGGCACCGGCCAGATGGGCTATCAGGGTGAGGCACCAGCCGCACGCGCACACACCGCTCCGGCAGCTGCGTCGTCCCGGCTGCCAGCGAGAGGTGGCATGACCAGCGAAGCGGCAGTGGTGTAGGACTAGACGAGAACAGCTGGCAGAGCACGTGCGGTGCGTGTTGAGACGCAGGCGCGTCAAGTGGCGTTTGGGTGACGGACTGGGGAGATCATTCACAGTTTTATGTGTGGTCCCATAGCCTCCGTAGAAAATGGCCCGTTATTACCGAGGTGCTGTCGCCCGTGCCCACGTACACAGCTAGCTAGGGGCCATGCATTGCGCGTCACATGGAGGCGCAGAGGGTTGGGATGGAGCATGACTGAAGCATGACAAGGGGGGAGGGGTGTTTTAGACAGCACGGCGTTTTGCTCGGTGTGGTTGTAAGTCATTTTATGTTTTTTAAATATTTTCCATCTTCAAAGCCGGATGTCTTCCGCTACCGCTCATTCAAGTAATGCGCTTGTCTTTCTTTTGCACCTCGAGCGTGAAGGAGCGGAACGGATGTTACCTGTTAGGGATGTTACGCTTACACCACACGATCAGCAGGGGAGGGGAGTTTGGCATGGCCATTGCATGACCGGGAAGGGTCTGAAATGGAATGTGTAGCATAATTAATCGACGACTTTCATGCTTAGCAAGAAAACTGGTTCTAACACAAGTCAATGATGCATGACAGCAAAGGTGACGCAAAATAACCAACTAAAACAAGAATTTAACACTACCAGTTGTAATAAATAAGTGTGCTGGGTACCATCAGTGGCTAAGTAATTGTGTTCCTTCAGCACTATGGGCTTTTAGCGGAGCGTGTGCGTGGGGTTGGCATTTTTGCTCCGGATGATTATCACTGGCTGTCAATGAATCATGAGGGTTGCCTTAAAATGAATTTTCGAAGCTTGCCTTTAGTCGTGCTCGCATCTTCGTAAATTACAGGTCGGTGCTTATCCCATGTTGTTTGGAAAACAGCGTAGGATGCGACTCGAAAATGATAGGAACGCCTTCAAAGCGCATGCAGGCTGTGTATTTTGCTTTCGCCTATGCTGTGCCGACCTGTGACGTTTTGAATACCTGGAGATGGTAGTTCGCACGCTCCTCACCTTTTCTGGCGACACATGTTGGTTGCTGCCCGCGGAGCGCTACAGGACCGCATAGCCAAAGCGCCGGAAAGCCCCCAGTAACTAAGTAGTAACAGCCCCACCCCACCCCACCCCCGTTTGCAGCTGGCCTTCTCTTCAAGCAGCTGGGGTGTCGTGTGCACGGGCTCGCGAGGACGGAGAAGGCCCCTGACGAAATCTTCGACAAGATGTTGTAAGTCGAACTGGTCACGGGACCCCTTTTTCTGCCGTTGTGAGTGAACAGTTAGTGTGTGAGACATAATTTTATTGATTCAGTGTACTGAAGGCCGGAAGGCACTGCAGTGTGTGGAGAAGAATGCCTTACTCAACATCCCTCAAGCAAGTTAGGACAGGCGTCGACCGTGCGTGCCGCCCCGATGTCCGTTCAGCTGCGCTTCGACCTCGTGTGGCCATGCGGTGGCCGGGGCTGGCCTGTCCAGCATGGGCCGGTCTGCCCAGCCGGGGCTGGTGTATCTGATCTGCCACCTGCGGTTGCCGCACCCTGGGCTTAGCGCCGTGCGTTGGACCCGGTCTCCCCGGGTCTGCTGGGCGACCGTAGCTCACCCCCACCACCACCACCACCATACCCGCCCGGCAGCACGAGCGGCCAACTGGGCGAGCTCATGCAATCGGCCGACTACGTCTGCAACCTGCTACCGAGCACGCCGGCCACGCGCGGCCTGCTGTCGCCAGCCGTGCTTGGTCAGCTGAGGGGTGGCCCCGTGCTCGTCAACGCCGGCCGGGGCGACTTGGTGCGCGAGGCGGACCTGGTGGAGGCGCTGCGTGCCGGCCAACTTTCTGGCGCCGTGCTGGACGTGTTCGAGACAGAGCCGCTGCCGGCCGACAGCCCACTCTGGGACATGGAGCAGGTCAGTCAGGGAACCGGGCTGGACTGCATCGGGACGTGGGAGGCCATTCAGGGGCAGGCTAGACTACTCTTGACCTTGGAGCTCAGTTTGGAATAGGTTAGATCGCTCTGGGAGATTGACGGGTTGAGGGTCATCAGGATAGACCGTTTCGAGCCGCGGAAGCCAGGAGGGGAGCAGGCAGGGAAGACAGCAATACAAAGTGGTACAACAGGTCGCGACAGTTCCTAAGAAACGTTTTACGATGCGGGCGGTAAGGTGATGAGATCTGCGAGGGAAACGTGGGCTGCAAGAGCCCACATCAATCCCGAGTGCGGAGAATCGCGTAGCGGTGGGATTATGACCATACTGCATGGCGTGACCAGAGACTTTGCAACCGTTTGGATGGTATTTAGTAGGTTCTTTCATAGCAAAGGAGAGGATTACGCACGCTGGCTTGTGCAATACAAGCTTGACCATCGGTGATGTCCGGTTATGCGATCCACCGCAATTCAGTGCAATAGGAGACTTGTATGTGTTCGTTTAAAGCGCTACAAAGGTAGTTGGCTCCTGCCACGGATTTAACTGTTGCGCTGGTTTGTTTCTACCGTGAGCGACGCCTGAATGCGGCGCTCATGTGTCCGGTTTTCCGGTTTTGCCCCCGGGCGTGCGTTAGTCCCCACGCCAGAGATGAGGAGCGTTTCTCGGCGATGAGCTCGGCCCAGCAGTGAGCGGACTGGTCGCTGTGGAGAGCGGTGTCACAGCCGTCAGTCGGCGGCCCCGCGGAGAGCACAAGAGCGCTGCACCGGACCGGGCGTGAGAGAGGCGCCGCGCTGACGTGCGGAGCGCCGTCGGCAGGTGACCATCAGTCCGCACGTGGGCAACATCAGCCGGCTGGACGAGGTGGGCCGCACCTTCCTGGACAACCTGGAGCGCCACCTGGCCGGCCGGCCGCTGCTGCACCGGCTCGACTGGCGCAGGGGCTACTGAGCCACTGGCTGGGTCCGGACGGTCGCTGCTGCACCGGCTCGACTGGCGCAGGGGCTACTGAGCGGCTGGTTGGGTCTGGCCGCCGCGGCGCCCTGCTGCACGGCCGCCCAGCGAGCCGTCGTCCCTACCCGCCGCCGGCCGGCCGGTGGCAGCGCTTCAGATGAGAGGAAGGGGGGGGGGGGGGGGGGAGGGCGGATATTGCGAGGAGATCGAATTTGCTGGAAGTTCAAACCATGACTCTATCTCGAGTGACTTCGCACTGGTTCGTATTGACTTCGAGCGTCAATACGCACCATACGAAATTGTCGGATCTGTTGCACGAAGGTGTCAATATTAGGGATGAAGGGTGGGCAGAATGCAGGTGTGTACTATTCCTTTCCAAATTTAGTAGTAGAAGCATCAAAATATAAATGGGCAGCCGCGTAGGGAGCGAAAAAGATCGGTTGTGTTTTGACAGATAGCCACCGACAACGCAGCAGTCCGCGGTGGTGTCAGTTGATGTAACTCTATCAGTGTGGAGTGTGTGACTCGTGATGTGTCTGAGGATTGACGTTGGTGGTGGCATGGCCCCCGTGCCGTATCCGTCTTCCTGCCGTGTTTTACCGCATCTGTTGCGGACCGTCTGGCGCTGGACTCCGTGCGGGGTGGCCCTGGGCACGCTCGGGTTAGCAGCCGGTGAATACTCTACTTCCGGCTAGTCTGCCCCACTGTGCTGGAGCTCATGCTGCGCTGGGCGTTATCATTTTACGTGCATGACTAATGAATAGTGAAATAAAGTATATTTGTGCCTGACTCACACATATGTGGACAGCGGGGCTGATGTTTGAAGAAGCCTGGCTCACTGTCAGTTGAGTTTTTCGATTGCAGCAGGACGCTGTGCGACCGACTGTCATTCGTCATACGCGACTTGTTTTAGACAGTTGTGCCTAAATCGAAATACAGTGATATTTCGGAACGTCGTCGTCTTGCCATTGACCATCGTGTGTCGGTGAGTGGCGCGTGCGTCATACGTTGTATTTGTCTGAGGTACTCACAGACTGACTTTGTTTACCGCCGCGACGCGGCCCAGCTCCCGGCCTTGCGAACATGCGCGCCTGTGTAAGCGACCTGTGGCGTAGCTGTCCTTGATACGACATTGTTTTCGTTATTCGAAATCGCCTGGACCGTGCTTTGACCCCGTAAGTTTGTCCTGTTTCGAAAATGCACGTTCATGGTTGCCGGCCGTCGGTTGCAATCACCATGGGCGTTGTAGCGCTGATGGAATCTCGAACGAACCGCTGGATACAAATATATTGTCAAGAGTGCTATCCGTTGAAACATGAGTGGGCTCACCACCGCATGCGTGATCCTTCCTCGGTTACCCACATGGTGTGATGATCGGGCGACACGAGGCCAAATGAGTCCGTGTGATAGCGCACGCGTGGACGGTGCACCCTACCGTTACAAGCAGCCGGTAGTGGCACCGCACTCAGTCAAGCCGCACCAAGTCCGTTAGGCGTTAGGCTCCCGTAACGACAGAGAGGACCAGCAAGCCACCGGTCGTGTCGTTACAACACCCACTTCAACAGCGCGCACTGTGCTGCACTGCGCCGCGCGATCTGCCTCCGCGCAGGACTCGGCTGTGGCAGACCTGCCTTGGCGGGTTCGGCCGCGTCTTGCGCCACTCGTCCCGACCTCGCGCCCTGGCCATGTTCAACTCAGCTCCGGTCCTCGGCCCAGATCCGACCAGTCTGCCGATGCCGATGTCGTGACACACGCGGCCTCTCCGTGACCACTGACCGCGCTCGGTCGTCTGGGGACAGTCCCGTACCACCAAACCCCAGTAACGGCACATCAGCTGTTGGCTTCTACAAGGACGGCAGCGCCGACGCTCGGGCCGGCCCGGATGGGTCTGCCGCGCAACCGCGCTAACCCTTCCAGTAGCCCCCGGCGCGGACGCACTCGCCGCCGAACGGGCGCCGCTCAGGTCAGCGGATCGCGTCCGGGGAAGCCGAAGCCGGCCGGCGCGTACTGCAGCGAGCTGTCGGTGCTGAACGGAATGAAGACGTCTTCAGCCTCGCCGGCGCTTGTCACTGGCCGCTTGACCGGCTTTGTGTTGCCGCGGAAGCGGAAGACGAAGCGCAGCTCGCGCACCACTTCGGCCGCGAACGGAACCTGCGCGCAGGCCAGACGTTTCAGGTCAGATCAGGTCGGCTCAGATGGGGGACGCCCGGCGAGCATCGCCGCGCAGGGAGGCAGGGGCCCCGCTGGTGTGACAGACGTAGCCCAGCCAAGCCTGGGTACGGTATGGTGACACTGCCCACGGCTTGGCCGTGGGCAGTGTCATGATGTCGTCGGTTGAGTGCACACACGCAACGCTTGCGTAGGAAAAGACCAGAGTGCGAATTTTGAAGAGAGCTAGTTTGGTGTGCAGTGCACGGGTAGTTGTCCTCGTAATTATGGGGTGTGTGAGTTGAACTGTTTCCGTCCCTCCAACTAAATGAGAGATTTGCATGGAGGGCATCAGGTTTGCTCTAGATAACTCGTGCTTGGTTAGGTTAAAGTGGTTGCGGTATATTGCGTGAAGTTGGGCTACGCCACTCAAATTTTCCAAACAAATGATTGAGACGCGGCACTAATATTGCCCATGGCCTGATTGTTCGAATATCGTGCTCGTCTGTTGTGTTAGTATGTGCGTGATATACACCATGTCTAGCGTGTGGGTGTACATCCTAACACACCTGACGAGCACGATAGTCTGAACAATGATTTCGTCCGTGTTACGATGGTAACTCACTCACCGACGGAGACCTTTGACAGCTTAGGTCTCACCTGAGGCAGGTACATACCTGTTTCACATGCGTTATTAGACGGAAAAAGGTACAATCACAAATGAAACGTCTTTAGATATGCCAATCTGAACTACCCTTAGCCATTTTCTAGCAAGCCTTTTATTAATTGAAGGTCGCGGTAACAGTCCATCAGGTCGTCTAAATGTTTTCCCATTCGCCTTCAGGTGGCCGCGGAGCTTCAACAACTGAATGATTTGACCATCAAAAATGTAAATGTTCAACCCACAACACACAGGTGGTGTTTGACCACGGCCCATCAGTTGTCCAGCCAGGGATGCGTTCTGACTGCGTTCATCTTGACGATGAACGCAGTCCAGGTGCCTATGATAAAGCTTCCATGCAGAATGTGTCATGTAGATGATGGAAGGACCATATCAATTCTGGCGACATACAGGCTTTTATCAAATTGTGTTGATAGGACGTATAAAACGGATACTATGTCTCCTGCGGGGTACGAGCGGAGCCGTTGAGTAATACAAGAGCTACAAGTTATACCTTACGCGATTAGAGAGCATACCACTCGAAATTAGACAAAGGTCTTATTAGGCTAGTGATCTTTTATAATATCAGACCGCAGCTTGAAGATAAAATGGTGTCGACGTGTAGACAAGTTTGCCAGACAGAAGTGTTAAAATGTAATAATGCAGTACTAGCAAGTGCTGTATTCAGAACCGTTTTGTTCCGTACGAGATCGTCCACTCAAAACCTGTTAAGGCTATTGATCTGATCTGTGCCCACTAATAATACGGTCCCTTCTGACTTGATGAGGAACGCGGCCTTACTAGTATCGGACAGCGCGAATCGTTCTGGAGTTATTCCAAAAATTGTCCCCGAGATACATAGGTTGCCGGTAACTCTTCGCCGCCCGCCAGCGCGAGGGTTCATGTATACCAAAAACATGGTGTGGAGGATAAATGTCTACAGACCAGGTCGCTACGCGGCATATGATTGTGCCTGACGGCCTCTTTCCCTGGGAAACTAATATGATACTGTCTGTGTCTTTGCGGTTCCGTAAGAATCAGATCGACTCGTGCCCCCGACCTTGAAGACACTGGCATTGCCTCGGACTCACCGGCCAACAGCTCACAGGCAAAGCCAGTTCAGGCTCTTCAAACTCGGACACATGAACTATGAAAACGATGGGACTGTGGCTAGTACACTGTGGGGAATTTACGACTCGAATTCCGACTCGCGACACGGAGGCTCTGTTTCTGACACGGAGTCAGGTCTTCGCCGCAGACCCGTGACAGTATGTGACGACCACTCACACCCTCGTCTCGACTGTTGCGGTACGCCTCCAGGAGGAATTCCACGGCGGTCACCAGGGTCGCCACAGACAGGCCGAAGATGAGACACACGAACACGCCGCCCACGTTCTTCAGCGACAGGGGTTTGACGCCTTTCTTCTTCTTCGCCTGGGGCAGGGGGTCACGCGTGAGAACAAATCCGCGTCACGGCCGCAGGGTCACTGAGATGAGATTCTCACTAGGGAAGGCGCTGAAGCTGAGAAAATATTTCAGACGTGCTAGGTTAAGTGCCATGATGGGTCCGCCAGCCGGGAGGATGTGCAAGGTGTCAATAAAGCGAAGTCAATGCAAAACAACATGGCTTTCGAAGAAGATCGCGTACGAAGCCTCGGATTTCACCTACACACTTTTTAAAGAGCATTAGGATGCTTCTTGAGCGTAAAAAAAAACACAAATGTGCCTCGTAATTCCACAAAAAACCAAGTATTGTTAATATTCGTTCTTGTGATCGGAAAGCCCACAGCTGCATTAAAACATTTGTAAAACCTAAAACAAATCTCACAACGGGCGCAAAGTTCGCATCACACAACCAGCCTTTTAATAAAAAAGTATTGAAATATCTGTGGCATTGACGCTTTCGCGCTTTGACTTATGCCTTCATTTTGTTGAAGCGTCGCCACAGTTGAAGCACCACTGTGTTGTCATCACCTTTACTACGTTCTATACACAGGCACAGAATTTGCAGAATTACAGGGTGTAACACAAAGACTACCACCAAAAGAAAATACATGAAATGAATAAAGAGAGTATGCCACGACGACCTACGCAGTTTCTTCAAGAACTTTTAATTATTCATTTAGGACTGAACGCTGGCACTCTCTTAACGCCGCTGTCCAAAAGAATTTCGTGCAGTAAGATGATTCACTGGATTGTTGCGTTGTCGCCCCCATCGTCGTGGCATGCCTGTGCACCAGATAATAGCCAGGCCCGTTGTCCCAAGATGAGGACCTCTGGCCATCGTTGACCTCCGGGTTGACTTTCCGTGATGACCTTGAGTGATGACTGAGAGTGATGACCGTGGGAGGTCAGGCAGGGTGATATCCCTGGGTGGTGACCACAGTCAATGACACCAAATGGTGAATTTGGATGGTGACCCGGGTGATGACCTCGGGCGGTCATCCCAGGTGGCGGTTTTGGGCGATGGCAGTGGGTAATGAATCCTGTAGGGGTCCAGGGTGACGATCCCAGGTGTTGATAATTGAAGATGACCAGTTGGTGACCCCGGGTGATGACCCCTGGTGGTCGGGGTCATTCAATCTCCGGCTCTATTCATCGAACGGGGTCCAGGTGATGTGACCCAACTTTGTTATATTTTATAGAGTTATGCTTGGGAAATAATGGAAGCTTATGCAATACTGAAGCATTGAATTGAGGATTGGTCTTGGATCATTTGTGGATAATTGTTATTGCTTTTCTCGCATGCGTTAAACTATGCTGTCGTGCATTGACATGAACAACACTTAGCTCATCGAATGGAGGTGCCTAATCAACATATATGTATCTGTGGTGACCCCCGGTGGTGACAATGCGCGGTGATCCCAGGTTGTGGCAGTGATCTCACGTGGTGACCTTTGGCCACGACGCTAAGTGGTGATAACCTGTGGTGACCTGGGTGTTGACTCCAGACAATGACTCCAGATGGTAACCGTGGACGGTGAACTCAGGTCATGACCCGGGTGGTGACTCACGTCGCAGTTCACGCCGCCCGTCTCGCCCTTCCACCAGCGGTTCTTCAGCTGCGCGAGCATGCCCTCCTCTTGCAGCTTGATGATGGTCTCGCTAAGTTCGGACGCCTGGACTGGCGAGTCTGCCGCGCCGGGACGGAGCCCAGCAGAAGTCATTGACTGATCGTGGCGTGACAGCAGACTCCACGAACACGATCGCAAGATGTACATGAAATGACCAGAGCGCAGGACGAGGGCGAGCTGTGCCACGGCAACCAATTCAATATTTCACGGCCTGAAATAAAAGACGCAAGCGGATGCGATAACGTTATGCTGACACCAAATGTACCAAACGTGTCGTCACAGCTATGCGACACCGTCACGCTTGCAAGCCCATATCGTCCTGCAGACAGTACAGAGCGCCGTACACTGGCGCCGGGCGACGATCCTGCCGCCAACACTCACGGTCAGCGACGCCGATGCCGTAGCCCTTGTTGTCGAGCAGTCCGCCAACCTGTGTCAGGCTGCAGCGTCGCGCCACATAGTACTCAAGAGAGGATGACTCCATGAAGTAGGCGTACTTGCCGTTGCTCTTTATCACCGCCTCGATGCCTTCTTCGTCGTCGCTGCGGAACACGCCCTTGGTCTTGTTCATCACATCCCACATTTTGTTGTAGGGGTGAACTTTTGATTTCCTGTGGGAGCAGAGGATGCCGATCAGATGCTTTGGCGCGGTGAGGTGTGTGTGTGTGTGTGTGTGTGTGTGTGTGTGTGTGTGTGTGTGTGTGTGTGTGTGTGTGTGTGTGTGTGTGTGTGTGTGTGTGTGTGTGTGTGTGTGTGTGTGTGTGTGTGTGTGTGTGTGTGTGTGTGTGTGTGTGGTGTGTGTGTGGTGTGTGTGTGTGTGTGTGTGTGTGTGTGTGTGTGTGTGTGTGTGTGTGTGTGTGTGTGTGTGTGTGTGTGTGTGTGTGTGTGTGTGTGTGTGTGTGTGTGTGTGTGTGTTTGTGTGAGAGATGGGGATGATTTCGAGCAGAAGAAAAACAGGGGGTCACGGCACGTCGGCGCTAGTGACTCAGGAATAACATTTACATTGGGTTGCCTCTACATGAATATTGCCTTGCCAACGTTCCAAGGTGTTGCTGGAGATCAACAACATTCCCGAAAAATGGCAGGGTTGCACTTCCGCCGAATAAAACACAATGTTGGTACTTTTCGTTCAAAGGTACGCGATGCGACGGCTAGGCACAACAACTTTGACAACCTCCTGCACCCGCGCGACTCATCACATGGGTAACACTTTCTGCTGTTTCCAAAATTAGATCATGCAAACACCGGCCTGTAAATGAGGAGCCGACTACACATGTGGAGAAACTCTTTTTTCCTTTCATGTGTTATCCGACGTGCCCACTGACCCGATTAAGTCCGCCCTGCGACCAAGGGCGAACGACGCGACTCGACATCTTCGGTATATGGCGCACTCGATGACCTGAACAGTCCACCATGGAGTCGTCGGAGAACAACCGCTCCTTGATTACCATTGGACGCGTTTGGGCCACTAACCTGAAGAAGTCGGCTGTGGAGCCGCCGGCGAACAGGCCGTACTTGATGTCCTTGTTGCGCGGCTTGACCAGGTCGTCGGCGCTCTCGATTGGGGAGTACCGCGTCTCGATGGTGAGGAAAGCGGCCAGGTTGGCCGTGTAGGAGGAGATCATGATGAGCGTGAACCCCCACCAGATGCCGGCGATCATACGGGTTGACATCGCCCTGGGCAACAGGATGGCTGCTTGGCGGAATATTCTCACCATGTGGCAAAAAGCAGGTAACGTGAAAACGCCACATGTTTGTTCATGACGAATATGTTATTGTTTTAAGAAACCAACCACCATCATTTTGCGAAAAGGACAGTTAATACTACGTGACTTTTCTGACGTTTTGGAACTTGCGTGACACAATTGGCCCTTTCAATTAATAACGGTCACAACTCTTCATGCATAAGGGGGCATTGGTTTGCAGTCGAGTCAGCACGCATTACACGTTCTGCATCGTCACTCAGACATGCTACGGTTGCTTAACTACATATGATCGTACCTTAAATGCTTCACCTACAATGCGAAACGACGCGGCGTTCAACAAGTGCTTGGTGGTTCTATCACTTACACGGCCCTTCCAACGCCCAAGAAGACACACAATAGTGCTCTGTTAGCAAGACCGCAGGGATTTTTTTTTAAAGGGTCGACAATTTCAAAATAATTTCACATGTCGGGAAACAAAAGGATGACACAAAAGCTGACGGGAGACTGTGTTGCTGCAACAGCCTGAGTCTGGGACCTAAAGGCAATACAAAGAAAAGGGTAGTTTGTATCCTCTCTGCTACATTTTTTCTCCCTGCGGTGTCATGGTAGGTGGACGAATCTTTGATACGTCTGTCTTAAAGTCGAGTTACTTTGTTAACGGTTATTTTACCGCGCATCGGCTTGTTAGAATAAAAGATAACGCCCATATAACTAAAAAGGTAACACATATAATTAAACCCGAGAAACGTTCGGGGCATTACAAGCCTACGTCATGCAATCTCTACGGATCTCATTCACCGTCTGTGAATTGGGACTGGCAGTTGGTTCTACACTACCTAAGAAAAATCTCAGACCTGCCGAGGCATATTAATGCACCGTTTTTACGCAAACTTTACGCCGTTGCGATCATGCAGTTTAACGCGAACGTTTTATGGACGTCCACTGAAATAACACACTGTAAGACTGAGTGATGGGGAAACTCGCACACTTCGCGTTATGCGCAACTAACTGTCTGTTAGCGCGAGCAACAGTCAAACTGTCGAACATCTTACTTGGGCGCAATATCGGAACCCTGCTGCATGAGTGACCCAATGGAAAACCAGAAACTGTTTCTGATATTAAGCACATTCTCGAGCTCGTCGGGGTCATCGTTGCACGGGTGCGGATTCTCCCACTCGTAGGGGCTGAACCTGCAACAGGTCAGGCCGGCGTCAGGCCGCACCAGCTTGCGGCGGCCGCCGCGGCGCGGCGCCACCGCCGCGTCGCCGGCTTACTGAGGCAGGATGTCGGAGCCCTGCTGCATCACGGAGCCGCAGCTGAACCAGAAGGAGTTGCGCACGCCGAACTTGTTGGTCAGCGTGCTCTGATCGGTGTGGCAGGGGTGTGGCGCCGACCACTCGAACGGACTGAACCTGCAAAGGCAGCGCTGCACGGGACCAGTCAGCATGGCCGCGGCCCGGCCCCGCTCGTCAGGTCAGGGCAGCGGCCCGGTCCCGCTCGTCAGGTCAGGGCAGGGGCCCGGTCCCGCTCGTCAGGTCAGGGCACCGCCCGACCCCGCTCGTCGGGTCAGGGCGGCGAACCGGCTCCCCTCGTCAGGCCAAGATAGCGGCCTAGCCCCACTCGTCAGGTCGAGGCAGCGGCTCGGCTTTGCCCGTCAGGTCAAGGCAGCGACCCGGCCCTGTTTGTCAGGTCAGGGTAGCGGCTCGGTCCCGCTCGTCAGGTCAGGGCAACGGAAGCCGACCAGCTTCGCCCCCTCTCCCCCCTCCGTGCCATGAAACGGGTGGCAGTCGGCAGCAGGTAGTGCGGTAGAGCCAAACACGGATGCCTGTATCAACGCCACTGCCCAGTGAACTATGACTCACGTGAAAAAGACAGGCTCTATCCGGCTCTGAGGCACAGACCATCGCATTCAGCAAGGTGAGGTCGTGAGCAGCCTGTTCTCCTCCGGACCAGTGCGAGTCAAGTGAGCCGCCAACAGCTGGCAGCCCGTATGACGCAGAAACGAGATGACAATGCCCAAAATGTAGCAATATTCTCTAAGGCATCAGAAAGACAAGCCAGTTGCTCTGGACGCCAGTTGTCATCGTTCAGCCCAAATCGTTGCTGAATCAGAATACAGATGCAGGTGCTCCACACTTGGCGCGGACGCCTTTACAGTCACAGCTGTTTCACGCCTCAAAAACCTGGTGTGGCATCCCGTTCGAATGGCAGGTCCCGTACCGCGGACAGACCGTTTTGACAAGTTTCCAGGAGTGGGCTGGACTGCGCCTCCATAAAATCCCCGCAGCTTACCGGAACAGCAGCGCATACACGCTGCCATAACTTAACCTAACCACTTGGAGCCATCAGAAGCAGCGACCACATGAAACGCTGGATTACGTGGCGACAGGAGGCAAACAGGATAAAAACAACCACATACCAACGCAGCGATAAAGATTTGCTGAAAGCTAAACTAATACCATGGCCAGTGTTTGCTTGTCTCCAGCAAACTTTGTGTACCGGTGTGATTTCCTCGCGCAAAGATGACTTACCTGGCTAGGACGAACATGAGGAATGAGACGCCGAACATGGCCATGCCCATGTACGCCCACACCTCAAGCGAGAAGGGCGAGAGGAAGGAGAAGAGCGACGGCGGCTGCTTCATCGGTTTCGTGTATACCAAGCTGATCCCTGTGAGTCGGACGTTCACTTACATTAGCTTTATTCAGCATTGTATGCTAGGAGTCTTGTTCTGACAACAATGGCCTTCATTATACCGGTTGGTACTGTTTGGACCACGTTTTGAAGGAGGCATTGACTTCATTGACGCAGCTCAAAGTTTCAAGCTGTGCTCATAGTCACGAACAATCCCGAGAACTTATGGCCACGAGTGGACTCGTGGCCATGAATACAGCCAGAAACGTCGAGTTCTTCACAGCCAATTCTTGCTTGATGGCGTCGTCTAAGAAACACCTTCTGGTCTATTCAAGATCCATTGTTGTCACAATAAATGCTGCCAACACACAAAACCAAAAATCCAGAGGTCCTAGGCATATGCTGTTTCATATATGGAGTGTCACCGAGCGAGATGCATTGGAACACAATAATAACGGTGTGCGGTTGTAATGGATCTTTCTCTACGACCCCCAAAACCTGTGTCTCCGAGAAAACTTGGTCCAAGTTTGACGAATGGTCGGCGACAACAAACAGGTTGATATTTTTGGACTTGATTTTTGCGGGATGAGAAGAAGGTAAATATCGGGCATGTACACCCAAATCTATCGTGATAAACAATATCGCATTTTTGGATTTAACATGACCAAGCTCTTCAAAAGAGCGTAAAGCATCTCTACATCAAAAGCAGCGACGTGTTGTAAGTGAACGTACCTTAACATTTTCCTCCAACACATGCAATGCTTTCTCTCATTATACTACCGGGATTTCACACAAGCTAATTTATAAACAGCACGCCATGTGGCAAGAAGCAGTGAGTCAGAGTAGCAGCATACCGAGACTCATCCACTGAGTGGTGAAGTTGATGGCCTTGCCTCTGCTGCCCGTGATGGTGAGGTCCGCGACGGCCAGGTGCGCCCTCTGGAATTGTTGGGCACGGTAATTAGTCACGCACGTGGCACGCCGCTACCACCGGTCGACAGTCTGTGAATCAGCATCGTCACGTTCGGCCACGACCTACTGCCATCGTAGGCAAGTGACAGAGTAGGACGACTGGCCCATCTGAGGACGTGCCCCCACACCGGGCATCGGGATCTGGGACCTTCTTTGGGTCCAAGTGCACCAAAGACTCTGCACAAATTTTCTGAAGTTCTGGGAGGGCCTGTGCATACAGATTCTGCAGCCGCGGCCACCTGACTCACATTCTCCAGCAGGTCCCCGATCATGCCGTTCCATCTGCCGGTGACGGGGTCGGGCTTGCCTGCCGTGCCTGCCCGGTTGACGATCAGCGTGTAATTGAAGTTGTGCGCCTCGGCCAGCTTATCCATCAGGTCGACACAGATACCTTCAAAGCGATCGTTGCCGCGTCGCAGCGTGGAGGACGGCTTCAGCATGGTGTACGGCTTCTTCTGCGGAGTTTAGCACCAGGCTTATTCGGGTCGCTGCTTGCATGATGATGTAAACCACATAAAAGTGCAGTGTCCTAGAATTGCCCACTTTGGGTGTAAAGCAACACCCTATGAGGAGAAATTTTTCACTCCCTTTCCCCATATTTTATGTGAATTTTTTTACTCCTGCCTGACATTGTCTAATCACACTTGCCAAACCCCTATTTCCCTTTCTGAGGTTTTGAGATGTCATCCAAAACCGAGCCTTGACCAAAACCACTTGAAACCACCAAGCATAAACGAGGCTCCGCAGAACCTGGACACTAATGGCTATGTCCCGCCTCACCTACATCTGAATCATGTCTATGTATGCACAGAGCAAGGGCGCCAGGTACCTCCAAGCCCAAGAACCCCAGCGACCCCACCCGTTTGCATGCATTAATTTTAGTTTTTTACAAAATGCATCACAATATGCAGCCGTGCGCTGAATGCAAGGTTTTTACACATCCCCTATTCTTTTGGTCTCACCACCACGCCACGAAAGTAGAGCCTGGTGCAAACACCAGGAAGGCCTGGTAGAGAATTTTACTCCACGTATTTCTTTTTCCCAAACAAACTTGACCACTAAATTGCATCGCTCCCGAAATGCATGAATGAAAAGTTCAAGAAATGCCTTATAAATTAAACTTACAAGATGAATATCACCATTCGAGCACTTATATTAACAGAATAAGTCAAAGCAGCTGATTATAAAATTTTTCGAGAAAAATACCAGTCTTTATATTCATTTAGCTACTTTTGTTTTTCCTGGTATCCTACCAGTGTCATATCACTGTATTTTTCCTTCCTTTTCGACTGTCTTTAGAGTTACCATCTGCTGCTGAAAATTTTGACCAACTTCTCTGCAAGATGCTCCAACTGCAAACTTGTACCTATTTTATACATAAATTGGATTTATTCGCCAGCCGCCCAAACATGTTTGATATGCACCCAAGCGTGAACAATTCACAGGGAATGAAGGAGACAATTTGAAGCACAGAACTTACTTTTATCGCCATTTTTGCCCTCTTAAACCTTCGGTTAACCGTTCTCTTGGTTTATGGCGGTGCTCAATAATGATAAATCCAAGCCTTTCGAGTGTCTGACTCACCAGGCTACCCGGCAAGGCATTAGCATTAAAATAAATGATGCCATACAGAGCCTTGGGACAAACCTGACGCAGCTAATACAAAAGTGTTTGATGGCGAAATTCTGCCCTATGGAGCTAGTTCTCATGTACACCTTTTACTTGTTTCGCATTTTAATATCGACGGTTGGTGGGCATGATTTATATTTATATTTGGGGAGTGAGTCGGATGACTCTGTCTGCCAGCAGACCATGCAAAAGGTACTGAATTTTTGTTTTTTGGGGAGCAGTAAGAAGCCAGTAAGTCCCCTGCAGACCAAGGAATTGCTTACGTTACCTGCTTCCAACACATGATTGGTAACCAAAGTTAGCCATTTTTTTGTTTTAATGCATCGAGTTTTGCCATAAGACAAATTATGATGCAGCAAGGCATGCAATGGGCTTATTTTGTTCTGCATTCTTGGTTATTTGGCCCAAATTTGTTAAAGTGGTCCCTTATGGCTGTGTTAACCACATGTTTTCTGTAGCTGTCATGGTTTGCTGACCGGCAAATAACTGTACTGTATATATGCACTATATTTTTAACACAGGGATACTCTAAGCTGCATAGCAATTATAATATGAGTTAAATATTGGTAGGTAACAAATAGTCAGACCACCCCATTTAAAATGTGAAGCAAACATCTCAAACTCTGTCCTTAAGTATGAATAAACAAGCCAAAATGGATGCATTTGCTGCAGCTGAAAAGGCAAGCAGCAATACTGATATGGCCATCTAAAAGTTGTCTTATTTTTGGAGAAGAGAGGCTGTTTTGCGGAGCATACCCATTATTGCCCTTGACATAGATTAGCCATGACAATCAAAATGAGTTGTTCAAAGTGATTTAAAGTGTTTTGATTTGTGTGTTGTCAACTTTGATGTCAACAGGCATGCACAAATGAACTGAATAAAAATGCAAGTTGGAACCAGCCAAAAACTAGCTTTAATGTCATGTTTTTATCACAAGTGCTGTTGTCAACAGATAGGTGAGTTGAGATGATGTTCATCAAATGGGCTACTTTAAGTTAGGTTAAGTTGGTCAAGTGCATGGCAAGTGGCAATAGGAATTGTGCAAGAATCAGTAACCCACAACTGCTGTTGTGATACAAACAGGTTAAACAGGATGAGATGATGTAAGGCCTCTTCAGGTTAGGCAAGGCCACTTTCATGGAAATAAACATTGGTATTTTGTAAGAAACAGTGACAAAATATTTGTTTTCCCTGACCCCATCTTAAAAGAAGCCAGAAGTATGTCCGTTGTGTTTGACCTGGTGATGGGCTGGTGTGTAGCAGTCCAAGGTTTTTTTGTTTGAGTGTTTTATGCTTGTTCAATTTTCTGTTGTTATTTTGCTATTGAATTCCTTTGCTTCGTTTTGTTTTAAAAGTGCTGTGGAAGGGAACTGAAAGGTGCAGCATCAAATTATTGGTGTTAATAATTTGTTATGCTCATAATACTGTCATGAAATTACCATGCTTTAACACGCCCCCGGTTGGCCGGCGAAATGCCCTTCGCTCAGGTGTGTGGGGGGGGGGGGGAGGTCAATTTGACCCCCCTCTGAGATCTCGAGGACTAAGAAAGCTAGAGACACCAAATTTACAGGGTGTCTTGACCTATACGTGAACTCACTTAGGTTGGGGTTTCAGCTTCCTAGGTCATGACCTTCAGGTCGAATAAGATCAAATAAGGTCAAATTCCAGGTTGGTCTCCAAAGCGCCCCCAGAACCTAGGCAACTGTCTCTAATGAAAAGTTCACAAGCCCATTTGAGGTCATTGACCTTGTTTGATCCTTTGAAGGTCATGGTGACCAAAATGATACAAGACTGATCTGCGTTTAGCACTTGAATGCGCGACAAAGATTACTCTAGGCAGTATGTTCCTAAAACAAAACGTTCGACCAGGGTCATCTTAGGTCAGTGGGCTGTTCTGACCTCCAAGAAGTCAATTGAAGATGTATAATGCGGTTCCTGCTGTCAATAATTCGAAGTGGCCACCAGAAGCCATCCCATACAGCAAGCCCTAGAGTAATAAGTCAGGTTGGTTTTGACCTTGGTCTGACCATCATACCTGACCTTAGGTCAACGTAATTTGCTGATTCAATATTTTTGGCGCCTAAGAAAGCATCTCAGAGATGTACGTCTTCGTCAAACACTCCGTTGTTATATCAGATTGAATGATTCCCTAGAAATTGCCTTCGCTGAAACCATGGGCTGACTGACCTGTCATAGGTCAGCGACCTTACAAGGTACATCTAAAATTTGTATGTCAAACTATCCGCTATGCAATTTTCTACAGCTATGCAAAATTTGGCGCGGCTACACTGCGCCGTTCAGAAACCATTCGGGAAAAGCCCTCGGGGGGGGGGGGGGGGGGTCAATTCCCCCCATCCCTCACCCGAGCGCGTGTTAATGTATTCTGTTTCACTTTAATGGCCTAAGATGTTAAAAAACGAAATGGCTTTGTCAGGTTCCTGATATTACGTTTATGCCAACCTGAAATAGATGTCTTTGTTTGCTGAAGCATCAGTAACGAGCTCATAAGTTCCATCTTTTTTTAATTGATTTTTTCACTCCCGCATGGTCTTTTTGCGATGAAATTTTTCACTACCACCCTAGTTGAAAAGCGATCCTAGCTCCCTGGAAAAGTGTCCCATAGTGCATCATCATCGGTGTTTGATTCGTGCTGTAATTATCGTGGTGTAATTATAGTGCGATCAGTGTCACTACATATAGAGTGCAGCAACCAGAACGAACCCTCTCTGACGTCATATTGTCGTATGTTGGATCGCTTTTCTCAAGCATTCGACAATTTTCGATATTCAGACGTTCGACGTTTTCAAGACAAATTTATCAGTATCAGTCTAAGATGCCCCTCACAAGTAAAGCTGAAAGCAAGTACTGTGCACAGTCATGCACCATCATGCACCATGGTTGGCTCATTGTTCTCGCGCCTGCAGCACAGTCGGTCAACTCCGGCGAGACAGTTCAGAACCTAGAGCGCGCTCCACCAGTACCCGAGTCGACTCACCATGACTGTTGTCACGACGATGGTCCGATTCGGTTGGGCCGTCTGCAGCTCTGGTAACTTTATAGGGACCATCTCGGAGCCGGCAGATGACCACGAACCAATCTTGACCTGGGGACCGAACGCCATCGCTAACAGTCGGGCACGCGACCTTTTTTGACGTCTACATGTGTTGAGACACGGCCACACATCGGCTCATACTCTTGCAGAATCCCACTGCTCATCCAACTTACCAGCACCGTTTTAACGTCCCATTTTAACATTCTCTCAACTTGACTCTGAATTCAGATAAGTTTTTACTTGTATACGACGGGGAAAGCCGGATGTTCAAATACAGTTTTGCGAGCTTAGCCATTGCGAGCCCTTTTTCACCTGGTGCATATTCACAAATGACTATCTGTGAGCAGGACGTTTTGGTGGCTCCCCAAGTGGACTTCATGTTCTTTATTGTTTTCTTTGGTTCAATCAACTGCACCATAGCGTGATTCCATAAAAAATACCTGGCGATTCAGATCTTTCGCGGCTAAGATGGGTCCATTCCTTAGACGAAACAATTTCGGAGGATCACATTTTGGCTCCGATTTTGGATTAAATTGCCTTGTTGCAGGTCACGCTAGCATATGTTTGTTGCAATTTGGCAGTTATCCAGCGCGTCGGTTCTCGCTGCCGATTCCGCCTAGCTCGGATGATGGTGGGGGCGATGTCCACAGATCTCGGCCATGCCACCGGGCGCAGCACATAACAGGTGATTGTCACCCACACCAAATTACGATTTGATTGTGCAGTGTATCAACGGCAGGCCATTCATATCTTTTTCCGTGTAATAGCGTGATATTTGCTTCAACAAATGGTTTCCATAAGCTTACTTGACCTCCATTATGGGCTATGACCTCTAAAAGGTGCGTCATTAAAAACAAGACAAGTAATGTCTTAGAATGGCTACCAGTAGACCTTTTCCGCTTTGCTTCAGCTATTCTAGTTTTCGTTGTGCATGCTCTGGGAAAGTGACCTCCGCATGCGGCAAAAGCGAGGACGTATTCAGTAGCATTTTCACTAAGAAGAGAAACTTGGTTGTCATGAGCATTATTTTCCACTTAAAAGCGTACCAAAAATGACAAGTGAACTCACTTCATATGTCATGCTTGCTTCAGTATCTTTAGAATGTGGAGCATTTCATTCAAGCGATGGGAACAACAACTGTGGGTTGAAAACATGGAGTGAAGATTTAAGTCAGACACATCTGACAGAAGTCCCTGGAACAGAGGAAGCAACAGCGTCTGCCGCCCGACTGGTTGCGCGAATGCACTACTTTTGGCAGCTGAGCCAAATCGAATCACCTCATGGGCTAGTCTCGTGACATACCGGCGGGTTACCTGCTGACATAGCTGCCCCTGCAATGTGCGTCATAGCAGGTCGGCGTGGTGGCGGCTGACGCCCAGGGGTGGCTTTCTTACCAGGTCCTGCTCCTGCAGCTGGATGACATCCAGACTGAACGACTTCCGGAGCCCGTCAGTATCAAACTCGACCGGGCCCGTCAGGCCGTCAAACTTCACCTGCCGGCCCAGGAGCCCATTGTCGCACAGTACCCTCTGGCGATAATGCGTCCGCGTCACCACGGTGTGCGCTGTGTCATGGGCCCGGGAGCCCGGGTTCGCACAGTACCCTGCGGCGATACTGGGTCCGCGTCACGACCACGGTGTGCGCTGTGCCATGGGCCCGGGAGCCCGGGTTCGCACAGTACCCTGCGGCGATACTGGGTCCGCGTCACGACCACGGTGTGGGCTGTGCCATGGGCCCGGGAGCCCGGTGTCGCACAGTACCCTGCGGCGATACTGGGTCCGCGTCACGACCACGGTGTGGGCTGTGCCATGGGCCCGGGAGCCCGGGTTCGCGCAGTACCCTGCGGCGATACTGGGTCCGCGTCACGACCACGGTGTGCGCTGTGCCATGGGCCCGGGAGCCCGGGTTCGCACAGTACCCTGCGGCGATACTGGGTCCGCGTCACGACCACGGTGTGCGCTCTGCCATGGGCCCGGGAGCCCGGGTTCGCACAGTACCCTGCGGCGATACTGGGTCCGCGTCACGACCACAACGTGCGCTATCTCACCGGCTCGGGAGCCTGGCGTCGCACAGTGTTCTCCGGCAATACTGCGTCCGCGTCACGACCACAACGTACGCTACCTCAAACAAAGACGTGGCGTAAGGTGAGTGGTGCACAAGCGCCATCGAAACTCGAGGCGTGTCAGAGAAATGCGACGGGGCGGCGTGCGTGACCACCGAAGGATGATCACCGCTCTGGCTGCATGTTTGCCGTGGTGCTGAAATGTTTGTTGAAACGCAGATCGCAGGAACCAACAAACTCGCCTCCAGCTCGGAGGGTGCAAGCTGCGACAGGTAATGTCGATAAGATCGAATGCGTCACGAAAGCGAAAAGCCTGCCAACTAAACGATGTCGCTGCTATAGATGTCCATGGCTCCCATTAATTGTACACCGCTGCTCAGGTCAGGGAGGCCGCATAACTCTGGCTGCGGACGCGCTGCCATAGTTACCAGCTTCATGTAGTTGATAAGCGACTCGCCATGCGGCCATATGGCGTCCGAGCCGCAGTCCAGGGACACCGTCTCCAGGGGCAGCGGTCCCTGCAGCTCATCGATGGCGTGCGCCAGCAGGGTCACTGCGTCATAGGTGAGCGCCGCGCCCGTCTGTAAGGGAACACAACGTCGGGGTTGGTGGGGGTGGGGAGGGATAGTAAACGAGACAAAAAGGCAGTCACACTCCGCAAAGTGAAAAATGTCGGTCTCTTTTCATGTTCACTTTAGTTCATTTTTGGCCTGCCTTGGCTTTTGAAGTAGATGACTTTGCGCGTATACAATGATCCTAATTTTTTTAAAAATGTTCCAATGCCGGCGTTCTTTTCAGTGCTAAATGAGAAATTATTAATGACACCTAGCCAAGATGTCATTGGCCGATGAAATGGCCTAAAATGACACTGGGCACTCTACAGCAGTCTTGTCAAATTGATGGCATGGTACCAGCGCACCACGCAGCTACTAAGGCGAGTTTGTCGCGGTGACTGACACAGGAGGGCAGCCGAGCCAATTTGCCAATGCCGATGCCAACGCCATTTGCCAACGGACCGCCACCGCGCCGTCCGCTGGAGGTGTCTAGCCGCCGAAACCGTACAGAGTACGTCCCTGACGCTTCAGAGCTTCAAATGCTGAACAGTGGCCACCATCTGCATATCCATTGGTGAGTGCATCGCCTGAAACGGCTCCCAGGACTGTCGCGTCCGATTCGTGAGGCCATTTAACCCCCCTCCCGCTACGCCTTCAGCGCGTCACAACATCCCCGAGTCACGTCACTGCCACGCGACGGCGGCCGGTCGAACGGCGGCCGCGGCCGTACCGTCAGCTGGCGGTTGGAGAGCTCCAGCCGCGGCCCTCCGCGCTCCAGCTCCAGCCGCTGCCACTCCACCAGGGTGCGCCCCACGTGCGGGCTCAGCGGGTCCAGCAGGCGCACGCCCGTGATGTTGCTGCCGCTGTAGCGGAAGTCATCCAGCCGCAGCGTCTGCAGATCCTGTGGCGGGCCGGGCGGGCGGCGAGCTCAGTGGCGCAGGATCACTGGGAGGGGCGGCACAGCCAGGGGTTCTTCCCATTCAGCTGGACACTCCGCATGGGATCGATTAATTCAGTTATTGCCAATTTCAGTTCGAGCTTGGCTCTGGGCTGCTTCACTTGCACCCAAATTGACATGTTAAGACATCATTAGTTTTTTCTCGGTTGTATTACCCCGGCTTTACACCAGGTGGTGTCCAATACTGGGAGGCCTCTGTCAAGCTGGGCGGGCTAGGCCGGGTAAGTTACGGTAGGGACTTCACCCGCCCCAAAATAAATACGACCCTGCACCCCCGCACAGCGCACTTTCAAAAACTGTGTTTAACGAGCCGTTCGGACGGGCAGTCCAGGTCGTCGTGTGATGAACTAGTCACAATACAACTGATGCCCAAGAACAACAGACACAATACTCTGAGTAGCCCAACTAACCCATGATGAATACAGTTTGCGGGCTGCCTCGCCTGCTCGTCCTACTGGCGCATTACATTTACGACCGGATAACATCGTGCGTTCTCATGTTGTCAAAACGAATAGAAATCCCGCTACAGGTGCGCCTATGCGTTTATACAAGCCTTTCATTCATCATCTGAAACATTTTACGGGGTCCAATCAAAAGGCAATAACTGTAAAGATCGGGTAACACAGTGCAATATTTACTAGAAACGCTATGAAGTACTAATACTTCTTGATCCATATTTACCAGAGACGTTATGAAGTACGAATACTTCTTGATAATCATGCCCACCATCTGAGCATCCTTCAAGAACTTCAACACCTTATCAGTGCGACAATCCACGACAAAGTTCACCTCCCCTTCATCGCGCATCCTCCGCAGGATGTGCCTGTGGCAAACATGATCACGCGATCAACAACATTCACATGATAAAATCGGAAGCATGATCATGGTCCGTGAATTGGTTATACGCATCCTACGACACCATACTAAATGGTGACGAGGCACGTCCTGGCTGCATAACGACAAAAAGCGTCAATTACAAGACGAAAATAATGAATGGGAAAACAATCCAATAACACAACACCACGAACACAAATCACATACAATTATGATGAACATACAGTGCATGCCAACTAATAATCGTGGTGTAAATATAGCACACGTATCGCGAGGGCACATCGCCTGTGCCATGTACTAAACTAAGTAGCAAAATGTAATGATGGTCGATAACCGCAGTGATATACAGTGATGCAAAGTCCCGGTGCATATCATAGCCGTCAATCACAGCTATGTCCCAAAAGCGCTTTCGAGATCATGGTCAATCACCACGTAACATGATGAAATGGCCAGTGATTTTGACCCTCTACTATGACCACCATTGACATTGTCTGCCATCGTGAGCAATCCCGGTGCTGTGTAGCAGTCACTTAATACAAAAAACGCGTAGCACAGCCGATAACGTAATATACACGTTCAACATCGTGCCCGAAACTGACTGCATCCTAACTCATACGATGCCCCATAATCACGGGGTACATTTATCATGAGGACTAATCACAATATTGTACAGTTACCAATAGAACCGCTGTGATACAATTACGTATAATTATGGCGCTAATGAGAGTTGCAATTACAGTGCATATCATGACCCATAACTAGTATTTCCGGCGTTCTTGAACTCGTGGGTTGAACAAGTATTTTCGGGCATGGGCGGGATTTCCGGATCTCATTAACATTCTTAGACAAATAAATCACGATTTTTTGGTGCGGGGGGAGATCCAAGTCTTGAATGGTCAAAATAGGGACCTTACAACAAGATCAAGATTGTTGATGATGTCGAAAATAAATCAAACACCACATGTGTGAGCATCCTATGTCCATATATGGGATGTAAGCAAGAGGCTTGACATACTCAACCGCGGGGATCGTGCTTTTATAACGTCCATGAAGGTAATCACCAGTGGTGGCTATTGTGGTGAAGTCAGATGGTAATAGGTCCGACTGACCATATACCGCTGAACTCAAAATGGCGGTGTTAGGTCCGACTGATGATATACTGCTGAACTCAAAATGGCGGTGTTAGGTCCGACTGACAATTACCGCCGAACTCAAAATGGTGGTGTTAGATCCGACTGACAATATGTCGCTGAAATCAAAATGGCGGTGTTAGGTCCGACTAACAATATACCGTTGAACTCAAAATGCCGGTGTTAGGTCCGACTGACAATATACCGCTGAACTCAAAATGGCGGGACCCCTGCGGTGCGCCATGCACGAGACGATACTCTAACCGCCCTCTATCCTTGCCTGTAGTCTGCAGTCCTGTAGTCTTTGACGGGCAGTTGCTGCAGGTTTATCTTGATGGAGTCATCGACAAGCGTGAGCTTCAGCACCTCCTGTACGTTCATCAGGGACTGGTTGTCCTCGTAAATGACTGTGAAGCTCTGCCATCCCGACGATCGAATGATGTCCGACAATGCCTGACCAACCATCCGGGAGTCACTCACGTGTCGCCGTCAATAGCTAATAGCCTTTTTTTACGAAAAATTGCGTGAAGCCATTAAAAGTGTTTTCGGAATTAGGTTTAAACACTTTTGTTTTGGAGTTATTTGTGTGTGTTAAAGGTTGCAATCAACAAACCAAGTTACATACAAATTTGCTATACGGGATTTTATGGATTTGGAATGTGGATTCTCAAACAAATTTCGGAAAACCTGAAAATGTTTTCGATTTTTACCCGACAATCCTTCATAAAAAACGGCTCAATCAAAAATTAGAGCTACAATATCGATCTTACCATAGTTGCAGGTTACAACATGGTTACCGGAAGACAAAGGAATAACTCTTCTGCCGACAGCTCGACACATAACTGCAGATAATATTGCCATTGAGTTGTGTCTCAGGGCACGCGTACATCACTTACAATTTTTTTTAAAGACACGAAAAAAGGCCTGTCAAGAGCCTGATGTACACGCACAACTATGACTGATGATGTGCACAATGAGCGTGACAGCCAGCCGACTGGTTTTAAACGCCACCTCCGCAGCTAACACGCTCTCCGTCAGCACACGCCTCGAGCGCCACCGACCTTGCTGAGTGTGCCGGGGTGCGGATGCAGGTTTATGGAAAGAGGCTCCCGGCGGGCCCCGTAGTTCCACCTGGTCTCCAGCACCGGCACCGACTTGTGGTCGCACATGGAGAGTACGTGACTGGCCATCGTCTCCGAATGGGGCCCGAAGATAGCCACCACGCCCAGACCAAACAATCGGCACACTGGCGAGTGGGGGAGGGGGGGGGGGGCGAGTTAGCTGGGACGACAGCCCCTGACTACTAAACGAGTTGAAATTCATCAGTAAACGGCGAATGGCAACAGCCGTACGCCAATAATGAAGCCCTTAATATGGCAACATTGGCGCGCATATCGATGGATGCGCCGGCGGCCGTATATTTAGCGCAGTCTGACAAAAGCCGTACATTCGCAAGGTGGACAAGACAAGCTTCGCAGGCGTGCCAGATAAAAACGGCACATCCCGCAAGTCCTCTCCTGAGGTGCAGTGAGTCAGCGGCATCGACCAACCTCGCTTGGAGGCAACGAAGGTGTCCTCCTCGACAAGCAGTCGCTCCAGCTGGAGGCTGAGGCTGGTGGAGCGGTTACCGCCGTTCGTGTTGACCGCCAGAACGGCCTGCTTCAGGGCGACCTCGACCAGCGACTGCTCCGGCTCAGTCATCGTCAGCAGCGCACCTGGCGACGGCACCCGTCTGAGACCGGGCGCCCCACGGGTGCGGACCGGACGACAAGGCCCTGGTCTTCTGAGACCGGGCGCCTCACGGGTGCGGACCGGACGACAAGGCCCTGGCCGTCTGAAACCGGGCGCCTCATGGGCACGGACCGGACGGCAGAGGCCTGGCCGTCTGAGACCAGACAGCTCTCGGGCAGCAAATACCTGGCTAGCTGAGCCCCCACAGCTCAGCATGGCTTCACCAAGCCCACCTGAGCCTCCGAAGCTCAGCACAGCGTCACCAAGTCCATCTGACCCCCGAAGCTCAGCACAGCGTCACCGAGCCCATCTGAGCCCCCGAAGCTCAGCACAGCGTCACCGAACCCATCTGAGCCCCCGAAGCTCAGCACGGCTTGACCCAGCCCATCTGACCCCCGAAGCTCAGCACAGCGTCACCGAGTCCATCTGACCCCCGCAGCTCAGCCACGTCAGACGCCGGATTGGGCTCGGCTGGCGGAGACCGCTGACGCAGCGGAGCAGTCTCGTCACGTGCCGTCTGTTTTGTGAGGAAACATGGCTGTCAGCGATGAGAAACCGACACATGTATATCTGTTTCATCGCACAGGTCTCCCACAGAGGGTGCACATAAGCGCAGAAAGTTTTCCAAACTACCGACATAAGCAGCCAGCATCCATTCGACCAGATGAAGTTGGTCGCAACCATAATTTCTTACCGAGTAAGGGCAGTGGTGCATTCAAAGGGCGGCTGTGGGGAGGGGGAGGGGGAGAGGGAGCACATCTAAAGAGTCTGTAACCAAACAACGGGGATCATTTCGCCTACGGCTTTGTTACAGCTTCCCTTTTTGGGACTGAAGGTACTAGTGGCTCAACAAGTTTTTACAGTTTTTGGATAGGTAATTCATTCATTTGGAATTGAACAATAGGTTCCATGGGTTACACGAGCAGCGCCAATCCGAATAGTAACGACCAATGGGTCAAATAACGAGAAAAATGGAAAAGAATAATAAAACGGTTTACAGACGCCAGCTGTTTCATTCCAGGGTTGCCACTTCCTAGCACATTTCATGCAGGGAAGTGCTTGGCGGGGGGGAGGGGGGTTGGAGTGCCTGGCATGTGGGTGTTCAAACCCAGGTTTACTCTACCTAAAACTAGCCTTGCTCGAAATATTGAACAAGACTTGATCGTGACTGTACCGTTACCAGGGGCAGATCCAAAGGAGGGTACAGGTCTTTCCCGCCATGGGCCCCGAAGGGGCCTGTTGGCTCCGAAGGAGCGCATGGCCGGCCGAACAGGTGCAATTTTTTTAAACACAAATTGCAACAAAACTTGGTGTCTCAGGACTTTCAGGTGACCAAGAACAATTATAAGCGAAAGTGAAGGGTCTGTGAGAGGTAAAAAAATAAATAATTCAATGATTGGAAAGTTGCGGACTGGTAATTTTAAGCCTCAGTGCACTGTCTAGAGGCCCCATGCCATTTCTTGGGGATCTATATACCCACTTGCAGGATCATTTCGATCGTCAAGGAGCATTCTACGTTAGCCCTCATTTTTTTACGTTTGCTCGGGGGGCTCTATAACGGAGGGCCTATATATCAACCTGCTATGACGCACTGGATCATTCGGGGGTCCCTTGCGTTGGGTCTTGAGTACTTCCTAACTGAATGGAGGGCTCTGCGCTCTTTTTGGGAGCCCTTTCTGTAAACCTGCCCGGGCACACTCGATCATTCGGGGGCCCTCTACATTGGGTTTTGGGTACTTCTTATTTGAATGGAGTGCATTGCGCTTATGTCGGGGCCCTTCTGATTAGATGCTCGGGCCCATTCAATCGTGGGGACCTCTACATCTGGTTTCCGGTACTTCATTTTTAAATTGAGGCCCCATCGCTCTTTTCGGGGTCTGTCAACCTGCTCTGGCGCACCCGATTCGCTGATTGAGAAAGTGTTGCTTGGGGAAAATTTTGGGGCTCATTACGATGTCTAGAGGCATTACGCTGTTGGTTGCCTGACCCTATATGCCCACTTGCCGGGACAATATGATCGCTTCCACGTTGCCCTTCATCTCTTTGCATTTTCTCGCAGAGCTCAATGTGCTGTTGGGACGCTATCTGTCTCCATGCCTGAGCACTGTTGGTCGATCAGCTTTTCCTTGACGGATTCTTCTCATTCACCCGAAAGACTATACACTTTTTCTGGGGCCCCATATGCCAGGGTACACTCAGTTGCACAGGGGCCTTTCATTTAAGTATCGGGCTCTTTCCACTTGCTTGGACGGCCTTGTGCTGTCGATAGGGCTCTTGTAAGGTGAGGCACGGATACACTCGATGCTCAGGGTCCTCTACTTTGATCAAGGGCTCTCTTCCTTTGATGTCATTTGCGGAGGACTCTCCATTCCTATCGAGGTTCGTGTTGTTAACCTGTCCGTGGACTCTTGATGGCACAGGGGTATCAATTCATGGTCTCGGATAATTCCCATTTGCTCGGAGGATCATGTGCTATGGCTGGGACCATATATGTCAGCCTGCCGGGGCATTACCGATCGTTTCGCGGACCACCAAGTTGGTCTTGCGTTCTTTTTGCTTGCTCTGAGGGCCTATAATTGTTGACGAGAGCCACTTTGTTGGCCTCCTGTGGCACCCATGATCGCTCAGGTTCCGTCGCTAATAGCTTTGGTGCCTTGCTCCTTAGAACAGCAGTTGAACATACGTCGATGAATTTTTATGCGCGATTGCCGAACGTAATTTTACATGCCACCGACGTCGTATGTGTCATTCCCATCGGTTATTGAGCGGGTGACACTTATTATAGTAGTGCATCATGCTCTGAGCATAATTTTAATGCTTTGATATGTGGTACCCACCCCCCCCCCCCCAATAACGAAGGAAAAATTCTGCATTAGTCAACAGCCATCAGCTGATTATATCGCCAAGCCGGGTAGCCGTAAATACATTAGCTAGGAATCAAGTCTTTGCTTGGTTTTGATGGTTGTTAGCAGCCAACTCAAGTTGATTTTGCCTGTTGTTCCGGAACACTCTTCTCGAAATCACAGAATTTAAAGACATCTGTAGAAAATGAGTGAGCTCTATGCGCATGCATGCGCGGCACGCATGTGCTTAATGGAGCTGTGCACGGTAAGACAGGTTTCCGTACTTGAATAAATGAGGTGGTAAATATACTTAAAATGTGATGACCGAAATGCAAGGATATTTTTTTTGGTGGGGGGGGGGGGGGTCCCAAACTCCAGGGCCCCACAATGTACCGTGGCCCCTCTTGACGATATACTAGGTCCGCCCCTGAATGTAGCACAATAACCCAGTATCGGCAAATTCATTGCAATGCTCCTCTAGTTCGTTATGTAGGGTAAGGTGGGGCAAGACGCCCCGCCGGGATAAAACGATCCATCAAGATATCTTAGAATTTTAAAAGTTCCGGGAAGCACTTTCTGCTCTGTCAAACAAACAAAATGCGGGCTGCATGCTGGCAGACCGTGACGAACCCACATCCGTCAATCTAGCAGCAGATTGATATCCAAATGCCAGTTCGATATTCCGGGGCGTCACGATCGCCTCCAAATTTGGTGAGCACGACCTTCTCGACACGCTGATTCCGAAAATCACGGTCTTTCGGGCGGGATTTTGGGTAACTTCGAGTTACAAGGCGCGTAACATCGCCAGATCGACGTTGCGGGGCGTTTCGATTTCCTCAAAATTTGGTGCACAGGCCATTCTCAACACGCTGATTCCGAAATCAGTGTCTTTGGGACAGGATTTTGCGTAATTTCCGAATTATACGACGCGTAACACCCCAGTTCGATGTTGCGGGGCGTATCGATTCGCTCAAAATTTTATGTACAGGGCCTGTTCCAAACGCTGATCCCGAAAATCATTGTCTTTGGGGTGGGATTTTGCATAACGCCTGAGTTACAAGGCGCGTAACGCGTCACGCGTCGTACAACTCGTAAGTTACGCAAATTCGGAAGTTATAATTAATAGCTCGGAATTTACGCAAAATCCCACCACAGAGACAGCGATTTTCGTAATCAGCGTGTTAAGAAGGCCATGTACACCAAGTTTGGAGGCAATCGAGACGCCCCGCATTATCACGTTGGGGTGTTAGGCGTCGTATAACTCGGAAGTTACGCGAAATCCCACCCCAAAGACAGCGTTTTTTGGAATCAGCATGTTTAGAAGGCCCTGCTCACCAGATTTGGAGGCAATCGAGACGCCCTGCAATATCCAACTGGGGTGTTACGCGTCGTATAACTCGGAACTTACGCAAAATACCACCCCAGAGACAGTGATTTTCGGAATCAGCGCGTTAAGAAGGCCCTGTACACCAAGTTTGGAGACAATCGAGACGCCGAGCAATATCCAACTGGAGTGTTATGCGTGGTATAACTCGGAAGTTATGCAAAATTCCACCCCAAAGACATGTTTTTTTCGAAGTCAGCGTGTTGTGAATGCCCTGTACACCAAATCTGGAGGCAATCGAAACGCCCCGCAACGTTAATCTGGCGATGTTACGCGCCTTATAACCGGAAGTTACGCAGAATCCCACGCCAACGATAGTGATTTTCAGAATCGGTGTGTCAATAAGGCCATGCTCACCAAATTTTGAGGCGATCGTGACGCCCCGAAATATCGAACTGGCAACTGGATGTCAATCTGCTGCTAGATTGACGCACGTGAGGAACTCGACGAACCTGGAACCTGGATGGTGTTGGAAAGATAAAAATGAAAATGTGCTTGCGAACGCTTTTTTCTACTTTGGGACTCCAATATTAAACTAAGGCAATCGCTTATACCACACTGCAGCTCAGAACCGTTAATGCAGATCGAGATATCGTAATTTGAACCCAAAATCACCTCACTGTTTGGTGTTGAAATCGTGTTGGTTCTCGTTCTTGGCGCCGCTTTTCATCCGATTAACTGGTCGGGGTAAAACGCCACAGTAGGTCGTGAGGTAAGAAGCCCCATGGGGCGGCTTGCCCACTTTGTGCCTTTTATT